AACATACACAGTAACCTCTGAGAGGACCGTCTTCTCCATTACCACCGGTGAAACCAAGCGAACAAAAAAAACAAAAAAAAAGTTTTTGCACAGGCACAACAAGACTACGACAAGCACACTCTTCCTAATATCGACCCAACTTTAACATTCACTCTTCAACAGAAGATGGTAATGGCAGCAGAAAAATTAAAATTAAAAACTAAAATTTGTAACAGTAACAGTGCAAAAGAACAGTCAGTAATAGATTGATAAACCATTAAGGATAGGAAAACAGAAAAAAATTATGCTACACTATTGTTTGTATAATCTGTTTTTGTAAATTCATAGATAATTTGACCTCTTTACGCCTTTAAATATCAGAATAAAGGAAAAAAATCACCTTGGTTGAACTGTTTATAGAAGATAGACATGCAGTAAACGATGGGTCACAAGCCAAAAATGTCTGGAGCCACAGTCATAGAGAAGAGAAGAAGTCCAGCGGCATTAGAAAATATGTTGCTGGTCTGACTGCAGGGGTTTTACAGTGACTTTACTGCTCATCTGGAACGCATTTAACACACAAACATGCAGTATCCATGTGGTGCTGAGGGGCAGGGGGGTAGGGGGTAGGGGTACCTGCCTAAATGAAATATGACTTGAAGTGTATCCAGTATGCATCCCTGAAAAGAAACCCCTACTGGAATTCTTTGAATCTGATTTTGGATTCTTTCCATGTGTGATTTTCCATGGATGTTGAGTTTCATCTGTCAAAGGAGAGGCGGACGGGAACAAAGGGTTAAGGGTCTCAGGCTTGGGGAGGGGGCAGGGGGAACTTAACTTTTGCTGCTCTGTTTTGTTTTATGACTCGGAGGCAGCAGAACGGGTCTGCTGAGGTGGATTTTTTTTTTGGCCTCTCTGGTCAGCTTTGAAGGTGAGGGCCCCTCTCTCCCCAGGGTCGTAACTCCACATGGTAATGTCTGGTAGTGGGGAGCCGGGGGCCCCAGCACACAAAAAAGGTTTCAGTTGGGATTCAGGTTTAAAGTGTTAACATTTAAGCATGCTTTAAATGATCTTCTTTATGCTCTCAAGCCTCTTTTCAGGAATAGAGACAATGTTACAGAACCAGGGCTGTTATGCATTAACGTTTATATCGGGAGCTTTTATTGGAGTCTTGGTTACAGCATTATCACAAGAATTAACTGGATTAACCATGGTAGGAGGCGTTTAGTGCCAAGTTACAGCAACTAGAAAAGATTGTAATCCATATGCAGTCCATGCTGATTAACATTCAGTTTAACATTTAAAGTCTTTTTACTTATGTACCTGCTACCAGATATTCCGATCTACTGGACTGCCAGAGATTTTTAAGGCTAGTTTTTGTAGGTCAGGGACACGCAGTAACACAGCAGGAGTCTCTGAGACATTTTCCAATAAAGTCAAGTCTGGAGTGAGAAATGGTTGGATCTAGTGCAGAAAAAAACCCACACAGATTGTCACTTAAATGGTGAACTGAAATAGCGACAAAGTGGAAAATGATGTGTTATGTGGAACAAGCAGCACTCATCTTTGACTCCTATAATGGTCTTTATTGCTGCTCAAAAGACCAGTGAAATGGAAACCAGGAAACATCGCCTGTAACATCAGCTGTTTATTTTCTCACTGTTAGTGATATATTGTTGTTTTTTGTTTTTGATTAGGATATTGGTATAAAATGACACTAAATAGAGATGTCAAATTCAACAATCCTAAAACCAGAGTTTAGTTCATAAATTGTATACATATATTATTGATTTTTGAAGTGTTCCAAATATGTGAAATATATTATATATATTACTCATAATTAACATGTAAAAACAAAATGCAGTTTTCAGTGCAGCGAAATGCACCACTTCATGCTGAACCCCTAGCTACATTTAGCCTTTGTCTCTCTCCTTTTAGACGGATGACACCTTGTGGTTGTACTCTGACACTACATTCTTTTTTCAGACATTTCTAGGAGATTCACCAGCTCTCATAATGTAATCCTGAAACACATTGAGCAAAAAAACTAGTTTTGCACTGCTCTCTGTAGGTTGAAAAAAGCAATAATGTGAAACCAAAACAGCTGACTCTTACTTATGCTGACTTCTAGAAATTCTATACTCATTTCATCATTGGTTTCCTGGTTCAGTAGAGTCCCCGTTTAATACATATCCGTCCACACAGGAATCCTGGCTAAGGCAAAGCCAACATCCTCAACATCAGACCTGGTTTTTGCCAGGTGAAATGTAGTTGTGTGACATAAAGCAGGCAGGACAGGAAATGTCATTTGCTTCTGTCACTGCTCTTGCACTCACTTCAGCATTCCACCTTCTCTGCTGCTTTTATTATTTTACCTTGTAGTTGTATGAACAGTATTTCTTGAATGAGAGGTCAGACCCCTCTCTTTAACTGGTGGGACATTGGAGGGTCTTATCAAGTCCTGTTTCAAGGTTAAATCAGCTTGAATTCTGCACAGAGCATAAGCACAGATATGTCACACCCTGTTCGTTATAGAAATCACTGGGTGGAGAAATCCTGTCTGACCAAGTCTTTCTCATTCTTATTAGTACATACTGTGGTTTAGTGACACTGTGATTCCCAGAAGAGCTGCACCCAACTTTCACCTGAGTAGACGTCTAATCAACCAGAGTAATTTAAACTTGTGTCAGCCAACAGAGAACATTATGTGATTTTGGTGAACCATACAAACTGGTGTCGGATTAAAAGTTCTGTATGGTGTTTTTTTTCTAGATTCAGAAACTTTTTTTGCACATTTTTAAGAATTTTTAATAAGTTTCCCTTATACTATTGTTTTATTTCTATTAAAAAATATAATGAAACGGCAGGCTTTAGGGAAAGATAGAGCTACCTAACCTTTCTTTCTCAGTTGTATTGTTTCCAATGAGATATTGCTTAGGGCAGAGTGCTGCAGCTTCAGTGCTGGTGATGCAGATAGCTTGCACCACAGGGTGGAGACAGAGTGCTATCTAAAACTGTCATATCATTTGGGGCAGTGGAGGGATGCTGACAGAGTCACTGTTATCATTCAGTTGATAATCAGCGAGTTGGCCCTTGGGAGAAACGTATTAAGCATCACAGAGCATGAGAGCAGATGCACTGATTTCCGAACAGGTAGGTGGTGATGCATACAGCATGTGCATCAGTGTGATTTCACACTGGGAAACATCTGACGTGTAAGCCTTGCCAAGCATCTGATCTTGTCTTAACCTGCTTGTTGTGTCAAAACAACTGCAGCTCAAAGATATAAAACTCAATATGAATCTGGTGATTTTTAAGCTCGAACAAGATAAAACATACAAAATAGTATTTTTAATATTTTATTAAAAGCAATAAGCAGACAAAACGTTATCTGTTACAAGGTACAATAGCAAATAATCCCAGACTCGAACAAATATATAAGTACTGCACGATTGTAATCACTGGTCCCCTAGAAATGCCACTTGTAAATCATAATGCACAACGTAATACACAACCTGTTATGTTACAAGCTCAAGATATCCACCCTATCACAGAACTGTGATGAACACAAAGTTTATTTCACGGAGCAAGGTCACAAAGTGCTTCCTAAATGTTAAATTGTTATAAATAAAACCATAAAAACAGTAAAAGGAATCAAACAATAAATCATAAGTAAACAACCACGTTAACAGAATCTCTTTACAGGCTGAATGGGGGCTGGTAGAGGAAAAATCTCCCACTCTAAAACCACAATGATCTTTATGACAGCAGTTGATACATTTGAATAGTTTACATCTAATATGTTCCATATAGTTAACTCTATCTTTACTGTTTTTCTCTTCTGTTTGAAGTGGGTGGGCATCTCATGCATGGTGAGACAAACCAGTAACATTTAACAGATGTCAGAGTATTGATTTCTGGGCTCGGCTGTGCGCCATGGTGCATGACCTGCGAAATTTCAACACTGGCAGTGAGAAGCAATGTTGGAAAAGCTAAGAAAATCTCTGCAGAGACTGCAAATGAAACTGATCAATAGGGATATTCATAGCTTGGATACAAATAGATGATGATGGAAACAGAAAGTGACCTTTCTTGGGGAACTGTGAAATAACCGTCTTTGTAACAGAATGTACATCTACGTATATAACTTTAACATCAACATCTAAAGTAATACATCTGCAGAGAGAACTACCTCCAGGTACAAACTGTACAGTAATACCTTGAAGAGTATCAAGCTCTGTAAAGTTATGACCTGCAGGATCTGAAAGTACAGCTGTTTGGGTGTCATGTAGTAATATCATATTACACATTTAACTGCACATACTGTACAAACTCACAATATGTATTTTTACATTAGTTAGAAAATACGGAGATCGTTAGCACTGCAACAAACAATTATTTGAATTGTTTATTAATCTGCTGATGATTTGATCAATTGATCATGGTTTTGGTCAGAATAAAGTGAAAAATGCATGATAAAATATCCAACATAACATTTGTCTTATCACACGAGACAAAGAAAAGCATACTCGCATTTGAGCAGCTTGTTCATTGGCATTTTCGCTTGAAAAATTACTAGAACGATAAAGCTATTATCAAAATAGTTGCTGATTAATTTTCTCTCAGTCAATTTATAGATTAATCATTGCAGCTCAAGTCGTGGTTATAAAATCTGAGTATAATTCGTTAACAAAATAAAAATCAATGGTACGAATATTTACTTAAATTACAAATACTGAGAGGAAAGTGGTCTGGGTTTTATGTGCTCTGTTGGTTGTTGCTTTTATATCAACTTTATTTCTCCTTTTGTAATATTAATCCCATTACTGTATTTCATATCAACGTGTAACTAAGCAGATGAACCATGGTTGTGAAGTCAAAAATGGCCTTAAAAAATACAACACAATGACATCTTTTTACCAGCCATTAAGATGCTATCTGGAAGAATTACAATTTCATACATTTTTAATGGCTAGTTTTTCAACTGTAAGATTAAAAGTAAATTTACAATCCAGTGTCATGGTGTCCACTTAGACCAGTAGAGTATACATTCAGATACATTCCAGTGTAGTCCAGTGTCTCTTACTTTATTAACACAACTGTACAACAGTCATAGTATTTGCTTCTTGCTATTTTTAGACATTCATATTAAACTCCTTCTACGGGGAGAGGGGAACAGGGAGAGACAATTTAATCAGATGGAGGTGTAGTGTCTCCCAAAGCTGGTGAGTCTAATCTTCTCCGGCAGGATGATGTTTACTGAGTGCTCTGGCTCTTCCTGGCTCGTGCTGCCGGCTTCTCTCAGCAGGTGTTCCCTTTGCTGCCGAACAAGCTGGCTGTACTTGGCATTAGCCACCCACGTCTCGCAGCGGCCAAAAAACACAATGCCTGTCGTGCCCAGGATGACCAGGCAGGTGAGCAGGGCCAGCATGCCAAAGCAGACAAGTTGACCATGGGTGACGAGGACGCCGGGGGAGTGGACTGTCTCCTTCAGGGTGATCTTGAGCAAGTCTCTCTCGGGCGGTCTAAGAAGCTTATGGAAGGTGTGAGCAGGGAGGGAGTAGTGCTGCGGAGTGAGCGCAAACACCCTGTGGTCCACAGGCCTGGCACTGACCGGCTTGGACCTGGCCTTCGGCCTGTGCTGCAGGGAACATGTGGGGCCTGTAAACCATTTCTGGCAAATGCACCGGAAGGTTCCATCAGGTTGACCAACACACGTGCCCCTGTTGGCGCAGGGCCTGCCGGCGCAAGGCGAGAGGCTGGTGGTGTCATTACAAGTGAAACCAGTGAAGCCGTGCGGACAGACACATGTGAAGGCCAGGCCGTGGTTTGTACAGTTGCCACCGTTGAGGCAGGGGTTAGGCTGGCAGCTGTCAACGCTGATCTCACAGTAGTCTCCAGAAAATCCAGGGGGACATAAACAAGAAGAGTAAGCTGCTGAGCCATCGGCATCCGTACATGTGCCTCCATTCTGACAAGGAGAGCTGAAGGGCAGAGAAACACAATGTGAATATACAGCAGGGGGTAATGAGGCTTCCTATCTAGTGCACAGCTTTACTACGGCAGGTTTTCTCCTGTGGTTATAAAGCAGCCATCGGTGATGCAGCCATCAAATGGGTCCAGTCCTATTTTACAGGTAGAGTTTATAAGGTGGATGTTAAAAGGATGCTTTGTAGGCCTATTATAAAGTCCATAATTTTCCCCAGGTTAGTGTTTTGAATTATTAAATGTTAAAACCTGGCCGTTTCTGTGATCTATTCTTCATTTTTCATCTTTTCTGTGCTGCGTTGACGACGTCTCATTAAGCTTTACAAACAGAATTTGTTGCTGTCTAGTATAAACCATGTATCTCTAAATGTGATCATTTTTCTGAAAAAACAAAAGGTCGAATGAAGTCAGAAATGTTTTTAGCTCATGAAAAATTTGGACAAATTGCCGAGCGGCAGCATTTTGTCTCTGATAAATGTTCTTTTGATTTAGGCAAAACCGAGGCCAATGCTCTTAGATGTTGAAATGAAACTAATAATATTCTGCATTATCAGTTAAGGTAAGTCGGACAGTAATTCCACCAAAAACTACTGTTTTTGGGTTTGTTTTTAGATATCAGCTCTCAGGGGTGGCCATGACGATGAAAGCTCTTAATTTGTCAGGACTAAATTCTTTCCCAGGAAAGCTGCCCTGCCAGATTAATTAATTATTAATTAATGTATTCAATCAATTTCTGTTGCTGATTGATTTTATGATAATAAAGTGATTAGTCAACTGTTTCAGCACTAGACTAATATATTTATTAATTTTTGTGATATTGAGTTCAGTCATTTCACCCAGCCCTATTGAAAAACAGTGTATAGCTCATTTTCTGCTAATTTAAAAATCTATACAAGTAACAAAATATAAAAAGAATCTCAGCTTTGCCTTTGCAGTAATGTTCCTGCACCCACATGTGCAGCAGCATATCTGATCAATGCAGCCATGCTTCACAAATTGTACTGATGAAAACCCGGGATAAAAACAATCAATATCTCTAATAGTAGCTTGTGTAATTACATAAGTTTCTAACATTCTGTCTCTGCGGGTCAAAAGAATAATAGCTCTGGCATACTTTTTGGACGTCTCTGGTGTCTCATAGAGGAGCTGATTAATGAAACTTCATGCAGGCTTTTTAATGGAGATGAATTCCCCTGGCATACAAGTGAAGCTCTGTTTGTCTCATTGTGAAAATTATAATAAGAATCAAATGATTTTTCTTTTTTGAGAGGAGGCGGAGAGCTGTCAATTCACTGACACTGAGCTGTAGGCTATTGAATTTTTTGGTGTGTTCACGTCAATAACAAGGCTGCCCGACGGAGAATGAACACTGTGGTGTTCAGAGTCTGGGGGCTGTGTCAGCTAGCTGTGTCCCCAGAGAGGCTTTCATATGTATCTGACGAGCAGGGGGAGGTTTCCTCCACAGACCTGTCTGTAATCCAGCAGTGGGAAGGCAGACGCTGAGGCAATTTCTAGAGCTTAAAGGACCGATCCATTGTTTTTGTTGTGGACATTTGGTCGATGTGGAATTTTGCCTGAGAGCAGAAATTCAAGACGTGGTTCTTGTTTTGAATTATTACTTGTTTCAGTGCTCTGTACAACTGCTGTATTCAGAGATTCTTTCACACTTCAACTGTGTGCCATTTCTGGTACTTTGAAGATACTTTGAAGGACATGAACCATGAAGGTGGGTCCTTCAGAGCACCTGAAGGCCTGGCTGAACCTGCGCCTCGCCTCCCCAAATGAGGACAAAACTAATGATGCATTCAGGTGTTCCTCACCAACTCAGTCAAACATTTCCAGGAATTTTCCCTCCAGTGGCTTGAATAGTGGTAAATGTTAAGAGTGAATGTGGCTCGCTTGGTAAACTTGCATTACATGGTGTACAGTAACAGCTTCAACGTTTCAATTTAACACAGAATGAAGACATGCTGCACAATGTACCCAGTTAATGGTAAACATTGTATTTCCATATAACTGTTTATCTGTGATTGTCTGCTATAACATAGCCAGGCCCTTAACACAAATAAACTGTTGTTTATGCCTTGCTACCATTGTTTGCATTGTGCAGTGCCTTCTTACAATAATTGGTTTATGTGATATATTTATCAGCACATTCCTAGTAAATAAGTAATTGCGATATGGGAAATGGGAACTGAATCTGAATATATCATTAAACTATAGCCTAAAGAGCAGGAGATTGTGGAATACTGACAGATGCAAAGTACACATCAGTTGTGTCCTCCAAATACCGGCAAAAAAAGGCAGAATTTCTGGTCACATACTGTATGAAGGGTTTGAAATGTGACAGCCTTGTCAAGCGATCATGATGTACTGAATTTTGAAATGATGACTTCAAAGGATGCAGCCTCTGAATTGGGATGCAGCTTATGATCCTGCCCAGGTACACGCCACAAGCTACTGCACTGAGGTGTCTGCTTGTCAACAAGGGAAGAGCACAATAAACATGGCTGCTGATGTATTTATGACAGGAGAAAGCTGGGGGATCCAATCTCTGAAATTCCTACGTACTACATTAGAGGATTCATGTGTTTGTTATGAGAGCCAAATTTATGCCTGCAGGAAAATTGTGTTTTGGCTATGTAAGCAGATTCAAACTCAAAGAAAAGGCTGAAAGTAAATACAGATTACACTTCAATGAATGCATCCAAATGAAGCAACGTGGCTGCAGTTCACATTATCCTTAATTTGACATTGATCAACTTAATTTTTCTTCACCTTGTTTGTATCCCTACTGCCCTTGATCTTAAAACATATTAAATTACAATGTGAAAGCAATGTGACTGTGTGAAAGTTGCCGCAGAGGACACCTGAATCTAAATCTCCCTTTTTATGGATGAGTTTTAGCTCTATGTTTAGCTGTCTGGCCCACAACTTCACTGTTCAAGTTCACGCTCAGCCGCTCTCAGAGCTTCATTTTCAACCGAAGCAACAGCAAATTGCAGACAGACACAGTAAGCAACTACCCGGTGGACATAATTGAGCATTTAGAAGCTAAATAGCAAGATAATTCCCTGAGGAGCTGGCAGAAACCAAAAACTAAACCTAAAAAAAAGAGTGAATATTGGACTTGCATTTGCTAATATATCAACTTGAAAATGATGGTCTATGTTGTGTTCACAGCTTGTTTCTTTTGCCCACAAGGGGCCCAAAAAAAATCTGTTATTTCAGGTTTAAAGTGCAGATGAGAGACAATTTAAAGGAAAAACAAACCTCGTCCTTTGAACCCTCTCCATTCTTCCATATGCTTTCAATTGAATCACATCATTTTTATTTTCATCAAACCATTTAATGACCCCTTGTGTCCTGCTTTCATGAATCTTGCTCATGCCGGCTCAACTCATTCATTCTTGTTGTTTCTTTCATTTGTCACCCCGTAACTATATATACTTACGAGGTGGCAGTCGATCGAACCCTGGAGCCGCCTCGCAGCAAGAACTTGGTACATGGGGTCGGGTACATGGGTCGGTACATGGGTCGTACATGGTCCGCCAGCTTCTACCCTACTGAGCTGAACCGGCCTTAGATAGGACCTTCTTAAGATAAGATCAACTCACACATAAAATATAAACAAAGTGGAAGCCAGATAAAGTGATCATAAAGCCAAAACTGGGGCCCCCCACAGACTGAGCCTTTTTTCCAAAATTAACCATTTTATTTTTTATTTTATATTTTAATGTGGAAAAACCAACAGAATCTTTTGGTTCATAAAAGCTTATGTGAAAGCCGGTGGTTATTCCCCAGCCCCACTCCGCCTCCTTACACCATTATTGTTTTTTTTTTTTATTTTTTTTT